CTATCTATCTATCTATCTATCTATCTATCTATCTATCTATCTATCTAAATTGATAAAAATGGTTCATACATCCTTTGATTAGAAATAACTTCAGGATAAACTGGAGCGACTAATACAAATACGTTTACCCTAAGAAAGTTATTATAAATATTGAGTTTATTTAAATAAGTGCCCTTAGTTGTTAGAATTGTAGCTGAAGAGATGAATCACTTGACTTCACTGAAAGACTGATTGAGATTTCACAACTGTAACTAGTTGGTTAAGCTTGAAAAGAGGGCATAGATCTGCACTGACCTTTATCAAAATGCCATGTACGGCTATTTCACATCACTCTCATTTATTCAACTTAATTTTGAATAAATGATAACTGACACATTATTTATTTATTGTCAGTTTCTCCCTGTGAAAACAGTTTTTCCTCTTTATCTCCATATTGTTTGGTGTGTAGTCTTTGGCATCTGGAAAGCCTTCAGATCCATCAACAGCATGCAACAAGCTAACCCAGGGAACAAATGAGGCCTCATATTTCATTTACTCTGGCAGCCTGCATCTGGCTTCCCAAAGTTCCAGCAGATTTTCATGAAGCCCTGAACATGCCGGGCTCATCACAGACATTTATTTAATTTGGGGTTTGTTCACCAAAAATCTGCATGTGTGCAGGCACGGTGGTGTGATCATGAGTCATGTCTCTAACAAGACTGTTGACTGTTGTGATGTGTTGGCTTTACATAGTTAAAAAATAATGTACCTTAAGAAAATTAATTATCTGAGTGCTATTATGTAAAAAAAAAAAAAAAAAAAAAAAAAGGTACTCAAAATGCTGGCAAACTCAAGCTGACAGAATGGGTTAAAGGATCAATAATAACCCATCAAGTATGTATCTCCTTAGGCTAGGGATGACTGGGGCCATTACGCATAATACAATACATGCACAAAATCAAATGCAAATAGATAAACCTTACCTCTTTTAGACAAAATTTTAGAGATATATTTGTCCAAATAGAAAAGTTTTTTTAGCATATTATTTCATGTCACAGCAAAAACACCAAACCACAAAGTGTCTAAATTAGTTGTTTTCTTGCTGCTGAGGTGAAACATCTTAAAGATCAAGTGAGGAAACACCAATAAGAAAATAGATAAATGCTTATATTTCATAATTAGACAGCACAAATGGTGAATTTGAGAGGAGCTGAGTTTACTGTTCAGATGTAAATTCTCTTCAGTTTATGTCTAGACTCTTGTGAACAGAGACGTTTGTCCACGTTACCTAAAATTTTCATATTTCTGTCTGAAAAAGAAGAGAAGTTATTAATGATTAAACATTAAAATAACACAAGACAAATTTGGCAACAGTGTTGCTCTGCAGCTCCTCTGACAGTTGTGTGATGCAACAAAACCGCTACAAACAAAAATGCAGTCAGTTTGAAGTGCTACAGATGCCATCCAAGGCCCACAAAAATGTCAAGTGGTGGTAAAACAAATACAACGTGGTTCGGGGCTGGAAACCAAAACTTTTCAATGGTTTCTTTGGAATTTGTGTAGGTGGATGGCAAATGCTATTATACATAAAAACTAGTTAGAGACAGTCTTAGGGCTTCACAGACTCCTCTAATTGTCTAAAAGAGTCAATATATGTCCAGTAGAGTAATATCCAAAAGGTGAAATCTTGTATTAATCTGGATCATATTATTCAAATTTATATTTGTAAAGAAATTTAAATACAAAGACCATTCTTCCACAGCCTGATTTTAGAAGAGAGTTCATTGGGAAATGGTGCAATGGTTACATAGATAGATGTTTTTGTATTGGGATGTAGTCTCTCGACAGACATCAGGTACTGCAAAGACTGTAACGATTAATCACAAATATTTATACACTCACATCAAGTGGTTTACACACAGAAAAACACACTGTTTATGTATTGGCATAGCTGCCTGCACTGAACAAGATTAGTGTCACACCCCAGTTGGCAATTTGAAGTGTGATTGATAAAGGAGCTGTTCATTTATTATTTAATCCATCTTCCACACGACAGGAGGGGTAACATGGTGTTTAGCCGTGTTGATCATGTGGGATGCAAAGAAATAAAGCCCCTCCATACATGGCAAGATGATATAACCCACATGCGGTTTTCAATGTTCAATTAGAAAAGGTCCAAAAAGCTGACAGAAACATGTTTTTTTATATACTGTATACATTTAAAATATCTTGTATAGTCAGCATGTAGCATTTCACACCATCCAGAAGGAAATAGAATAGTGACTTATTCAATAAGAAAATTAAAGGTATTTACAAAAACACGGACTACTCATTGAATCTATTTTTGTTCTGACAAATACAACTATAATCAAACTAGGATTACGTTTAAACAAAAGTATAAATGAAGAGGCACACAATTAAGTGTTCCTAGAACCTGAAGCTAAGCAGTATAATACCTGTTTTTTAACAGCTTTGAACAGATGATTGACCATCTCTCTCTACATAGTAATATGTTTGTTATGTTAAATTCATTATTTTCCATAAAAATAACACATTTTTAATTGGGCTGAGTTTCATATAGCCAAATTGGGCCGAGTTACTCTGCGAGGGATAAATTGATTACAAGCACTCACATTCTTATTATAATGTATTTAATCCAAAATGCAGAGATGAGCAACTTTGAAAAAAAATCCAAAAAAACAGTGTCAGCAAATAATGTGCACTCACATGCAGAATGACAAAAATAGAAGGAATCAAGAGAGCTGGAAGATGGGGTGAATATCAAGGGGGAAAAAAGAAGGGGGTAGAGGGTAAAAGTGAAAAGAGGTATTTTACTCCACTTCAAGTGCAGACTAATCAGAATTGAAAGCAGTGGGACAATGGCTGAAAACCTAAGAAATTATTTTCCTTCAACATTTCCTTTCCTTTTCGTATATTTGTGCCGTGTTTCTTTCCCCCTTTGCACCAATGTGAGTGTCTGAATAAGTAAATCTGTCTCACTTCTTGCCTTTGAACTCAGCATGTCGTTTTCTTTACTCAAATCGTTTTTTATGGTTGTGGCTGCTAAATTAAACTGATTTAATTCAAACCTGAAATGCTGCTCATATTGCTCTTTTCCCTACTTTTTGTTCCCATAGTGATGATCCTTATCTCGTTAGCTTTTTGCCCCAGTTCTTTTTCCACCTGTGCACATTTTGCTCCCTCTCATCCACATCTGTTCACTGCTTCTTCTGATCCTTTTCACTTCTGTTTGTCCTGAGACAACCAAAAGGAGGAGAGCAGATTGTCCAATTGATGCTAATTTTAATCAGTTGAGCTGTGGTGCTCATTAGAGTGGAAACTATGTGGAGAAAGCATCTGTTGCTTGTGCACACAACCAGCTACACTAAATTACATCAATGGTAAGAACTTAAATTTAATCATTTGACTTGTTGATGTGTGTTTCTATTTTCATTATAGCCACAAAAGGTTTAATTTATGGTTGGAAGACAAGCACAGCAAATTCCAGTTTACATGGTCTACACTTTTTTTTATTATGGTAGAGTTATGGGAGTAGTTGCTTCGAAGAAATGTACACCGCACAATAAATCTGATGATGCACTTTTTTTTCTAAGTCTGTCAACCATACAAGCCGAGCATAAACACATCCAGTTTTCTGCCCTGGCATTTCCCCATAAAGAGTAAACTTGTACAGTATGTTGCTGCAACACAGACCAAAATAGACGAAATAGCTTATCAAAGGTTGCAGTGACACAGGATTTACAGAAACAGAGAGAAAAGACAAGGAAAGCATCAGGTTGAAGTATATACAACCTTAGAACTTGAAATGTGTGAACATATATTAACAAGATTCAATATATTTGTCTGCGTTTGCTCAAGCAATATAATTTCATAAAGAAATGCAGGTCTGAGCATTTAAAGGACCCTCTCTAAATGTTTGAATGATATGCAGTCTCTTAATGAATACCTTTTTCCAATTTCTCTGAGAGGATTATCTGGATGGTAAAAATAAAAGCAATGGTGCAGACTTCGATACAGAGTTGATTTTACATAAATTCATACACTAGTGTTTGATTGTTTCTCTTGCCGCCGTGCCCTTCATTCCTCTGTATCAAGAGCTGTTTCTCAGAAACTTCCTGAAAGAAGCTTTTAATTGAGAAATTATATATAATCTATTTTTCTGTTCATGGGGCAGTGGCCTGTTGTGCTATTGTGGGCATTTACAATGCAGACAGACTTAGAAGTTAGAGGAATAAATACATCAATATTGTTGACTTTTCTCCAGGCTTATGTATTATGGAAGGTATCTTTAGAAAGGAAAACATGGCAGCATTTGGAAAAAATCCCAGGCATTAAGTGACTATAATTTATGTTATGCAACTTAATGTAAAAGAAATCAACTATCTAAATTTTTATTCAACATGAACGTTATGTTTTTGTAACATAGTCTATGTAAACGTTTTTCAACTTTTGTATAATTTATCAGTAATACAAAGTGGCTTTATTAACTTGAAGAGGCCGTGAAAGACTTGGAAACCCATTAGGGGGAATCGTGCAAAACCTGTTTCCCTGAATGTTTTTTTTTTCTGCTCTTTAAAAACAAAGAACAAAACTGTTCAGTGTAAGACATTTGTCATTTGTCAGCTGCTGTTAAGCAGACTGACAGCATCAGGATAACATTGGTCAGACCTGTCCTCAGTAAATTACTCTATTTCTAGTTCCAGGGGTCTTCTAGTCTCTTTGCCTCTAACAGTGTGGGCATGAATGAGTGTGTGTGTCTGATCCGACCACACGGTAATAACATTCAAAATTAGTTCACCACAAACAGAACACTTGTTCCTTCAAACAGACATTCAAGGTTAGTGTCTCCCTCCCACTTTCACCAATGACGTATGCAAGAAATTATTATAATCTCACTGTCATTCTATTTTCCACCCTCTTTTGGTTTTTCCCAAACAGAACAGATAGAGATAACTGATTCCAGAGAACTTCCACACACCCTATTTATGTTTGAAGAATATATAGAGAAAGTCGAAAAAGATTTTCTATAATTAATAAATCCAGATTACTTCTATAACCATAGCTTTGTGCCGTACACCTTGATAAAGCATTGTCACCCAGGAGAGTGGCTTTATGCTTGAAAATAACCACATGAGTTTAGATTAATTTAAAGATGTTGAGATGTCTCAAAAAACACCAATGGTGTTAGACATTTTGGAATGTTTCACTTGAAAGCAGTCCTCAAGTTGCTCAGAAATTGTAGATGTCAGTGTTAAAACTGGCATGAGACCCATGATAGCAGGTGTGACATTTCAGTTCAACACATGATGAACAACTTCAAAACAACTTCTCAATTCAATTTTGCCCGTGACAGCCCGTGATAAATGACCTACCCCGCAGGCAACTAAATATATAAATAAAAGTTATGTGTGGTACCGGTATTGACAAACTGCTTTTATTTAAAGTCATTTGAAAAGAAGACCACCCATGCTGACACAGGCTGTGACAATTATAACAGTGACAGTTGTCAGCAATGTAGGCTCCTAAATTCTTAACCAGTCTGACCTAATATACAGAGACATGAAAAACAAACAAATAAAAAAGCTTTTCAATGTGTGATTATGTATTTGTGCAGATTCTCCTTTTTATACAAGCCCGTATTCAGCTCGCAGCATGTCTCCCACTGTTTTACCCTGATAGCATCATCGGCTAATCATTGTAAATGAGAGCTAGCAGGGAGGCTAGATTGGCATAAGTTGGCATTAACTGGTGCATTAGTAAGTGTTGAGCAATTACTTTAATGATGTAAATTGGACTGAGATTTCTGCCTGCACAGGAAGTGAACAAGAAAAATGCAACAATGATTATGATTAGCAAGCTAATTATAGTATCTGCTGCAAATACTCTAAGACAGACAGTTCATGTAGATGACGGGTGGGATGCTTGGTGTGATCACTGATTGCTACCTTTTATTTGTGTGTTTGTGTACTAGGTTGACATTTCTTTTACACACTTCATAGATAAAAAAGGGTAAAAATTATCTTAACTCTACATAGGGATCTGAGCACAGCAAACAAAGGCAAACACATATGGCTTTTCTATATTTACTTACTTTTTGTAACTTATAGATTAAGTTATAATAAAGTAATCACACCATTGTTTTTATGAAATTTATTCAAATTGTTTTATATTTCAAAGTAGCACATTCGGTCGAGCTTCTGAGGTCGAAATCACAGAGTTTTAGATGATCAGGATTTTATATGATTCCTTTTGATGATTCCTTCACAAGTAAATCTTTAAGTAAATCAAATTGGGATTCAAATTCATAAAAGTGAATTCAGCATTTGTTTAAGAGAGGTAGAGGTTCAATTGATTACATTTTGTTACTTTTTGAGTTAAGACAATCACTGGCAGAAAAAAACACTTGCTTTTAAATTAAAAAAGAGGACAAAATGTAAAACAATTTTTTTTTTTTTTGTGTGGCCACAGGGCTACAAGCAGTCAATGTTTTTATTTGTTTAACCTTGTGGGGAAGAAAGGGACAAATGGTGTTTGATTGTCTTGTTGCGCTGCATGTTTCTATGTTTGGCTCCAAGTGCCTCTGGGCTTCAGTAGGCTTCTGGTTAAGGCCTGCTGGTTCTCCCAAAGTGAAGTGGAGCAGTAAAATTCAGACTGTAACAAACAAAAGCAAACACACTCACAAACAGACAGAGAACTAGAAAGACTCAGACCCTACAGCACAAACCAGAAGATAAGCAGGCTGGCCCATGCTCAAATCCCACAGACTATATCCTCTCCACCCTCTATTATTTATGTTCTCCCCTTTGTTCCCCCTCTCTCTTTCTCAGATCTCTGGAGCAAAGAAAAAAGGAAAAAAAAGAAAGACATCAAGACACGAGATGGTGAAGAAGAACTGATGAAGTACAGGGGGACAAAAATGCAGAAAATGATGTGGAGAGAATAAGGAGGTGGAGAGAAATTGCACGGGTCGGCTGAGGTTCGAAAGCCAAGAGGAGTAAAAGTGGATGAGTGGGAATTGGAGAGGGCATGGCCGAAGGACATTTGAGCGTGGCAACGTTTAGTATGCCATTCACAAAGATTTTGAATGCCAATGATTTTGTGAAAATAAGAATTAAGCGTTTTTGAACTATGTTTTTGATATGTGTGCTTGTTTATCTCACAATATGAACAGTATGGTTTCAAATATTTCCATATACTTGTCTCTCTATGTCAGTCTGTCATAATTCCATGCTGCTTGTGAGTGTGTGTATGTAACACATACGAGTTTGTGACTGAACAGGAGTGCACCCTTATGTCCCTCCTGATGTGTAGATAACCTAGGTTAGCCAATCCCAGTGTGAGCAAAATGTAGTGGGACGACAGGGTAATTGGACTGTCTGTCTCCTACTGTAGCTGCCACGAATAAAACTTGAAACAAAACATACACAGAGTTCTTTCACTTACAGGGCCAAAGGAGTATTTGTGAGGAAGTAAATATTTACAGCATGTGCTTCATTGTGTTGACTTGATGTCTGAATCACTGTGAATACTTTAAACAGTACAAGCAGGAAATCAGATAGAAAGCTATATCCTGAAAGATTCATAGTGAATTATCAACATGATATTTCCACGAGTCATTTAGAGCATTAACTCAAAGATGATTGCACGTCACAAATATGATATCTTCAAATCTAGATTTAATGTCAGCATTGAACCGATGACTTCATCATAAATAAGTTGGCTTTCTGCAACCTTCTCTTTCTGATCTCTTCCCTTCAAGTTAGACACTTGCTGAGCATGGGATAATTGCTCATTTCAAAATGTGCCAGATTAGCTGACCCCATAGAACAATAGTTCCGCGAAGCGCCTAGAAGAGAATTAGAATCTCCAAATGAGTTTTTATTTTGGGTTACGTCCATTAATTATTAAGTGAGTTGTGTGCCACTGGTGAATGTGCCTGAGCCATGTCATGGTCTCATGTTGAGGTCAGGCCTTATAAAATAAAGGAGAAGAGATCAGAATGTTTTGAGATCATGGGTCACTGAGGGAACAAATTAGTCATCCGTGCTCTACTCACAGGAAAAGAAAATCTATGACATCTGAAGTCTTAATGGTAATTGTTATTATTCAGAATATTAAATGCTTTAAACAGAATACATAAAAGCAAAAACTGTAGTTAAAAAAAAAAAGAATCCTGAATGTTCGACACATGTATAAAGTTTCAAAGACCATACATACTACTGTATACGTGAGAACTATCAGAGTACTGAAGGACCTCTGGATGGAAGTGAGGAAGTGAAGTAAATATGCAAAGAAGAGGAAAAAGACAGTAAGTGAAATGTGTTATTACACATACTAATTATAAACTAGACAAGACGAATTAAACCACCAGAACATCATGCCCACCAACATTATAGTTAGTTTGTAAGCCTTTAGGGATCATTTTTTGCCAACTTGTGTGTTTAAATGGAATTATGTGAATAGGGAAAATTAAGATTCTATAGCGATGCATCAAATAGTTTAAATACACACTAACCTCAACCTTTCCCATTCAGCTAGTGTTCATCTTTTCTTCCTTAATTCATTCCTTTCATTCTGGTCATTCATATCTAATACCAAAGGAAACATTTCCTGCTTGATGGTAAAATTATGTAAGTTATTATCTGCTAATTGATTTGGTGAGTTTGCCATAGTGAGGCATGGATGTTGCTTTCTCCGCTGCCAAGTGGAATATAAACGACATGGTGCTCCAATGAAAAAGCTCCTTAGGCTATGTCCGTGGAAATTCAACTGTGAGTGTGTGCTATCTGGCCTCAAAGTGCCCAACATGAATCAAACAACAGCTGTTAATAACTGGCAAAGAGCTGATTTGATGCAATCTGCAATTAGTTTAATAAGACATCATTTCTTATCATGCTTTTAAATGTAATTGAAAACAAGGTGGGGGGTAGGGTAATTACAGCTGGCAGAACACACTCAAGCACACCCTGACCTGACAGCTTTAATCATGTTTTCAACAAGTGTTTGGATGTGATTTAAAAAGAAACCCTCATAACCAGAACTGGATATCATAACTGTAGTGTTGTTGTTTTTTTTTTTTACTTAACTGGGTGAGCATTTTCCATGTTTATTACATGAAAAGTTGCACTCTTACTGCTTGGAACTAGTTTGGGCAGCACATAAACTAAGCATCGAACCTCAAGGGTAAAGTCATTTGGCTTTTTAGATTGATATTAAAGTATGAGGGAAGCAAAACAAACACAGCACATGTGGGGAAGTTATTACCCTTTTAACAAATATTTGAAGAATGAATGATGACTGAGTCTATCCCACCTTGCTCATTGACAGTTGAAATTGTCTCCGATCCCAGTTTTGTTAAGCATATGTAGATAAAGTTTCTATTCTTCCTAAGTCTAAGTGTTCTATATTCTATTGGCTAGAGGCTTTGTTCATAAATTACGTGCATGTGCAAAAAAAAATAGTAACGTGTCAGTTTAACTCACTGTTCAGAATGCATGGAAATGACCATGGCATTAGGTAGGAAAAGCCTGAACATGTGTGGACCAGAAAGCAAACCCCTGCTTGGCTCTTGTCAGCTTCCAAAGGCAACAGAAGATGTCAACATAATGTTTCCTTTCCATTTACTGTGTACTGTATATGAAAACTCACAGTTACGTAAGCAGACACAATAAATCTGATTATTGGTAAGTACAAACTGACATTTATCACATGTACAGAATCTGAATGTTTTTCTGTGCTGAAATTGCTGTGCAAATCTCTGAAATGATAAAAATCTGTTTAGGTTAAACCTATGTGTCTGCTGCTAAAAGAATAACATTCAAATAGTTACAATATAAAAAATCCTTATTGGTAATATTATAACTCAAAAGCTGCACTATATAGATATAAATAAGGAAGTATAAACTTACTTACTTTCTTATATTAGATTAAATGAGATTCAGCAGAGTTCTGGCTTTGGAATGAGCATCTCTTGCATTCAACAGTATGATTCAATTACCGCAAAGTAAGGCCCATCATCTGTTTATATGTCTCCATCTCGTCTTTTACTCTTTATAGCCAAACACAAAGATATACAACAAAGCTAAAATGGTCATAAACTGAAGTAATGGGAGAGGATTCTTCATTCTGCAAGGTTCCACCTGTTTTCTAGGATTTAATATGGGATATCAAATCTTCATGTTTGGTTTTAAGACACAAAATCAGACACATGCACATTTTTTGAATGTATATATTTTGTTTATTTATCGTCAAAGTGAATTTTTGTAGCATTATTATTTTTCTAAGACTCTAGTTTAATCGGTATGAAATCTGTGCACTCATTATGCATGAGACCTCTGGTATTTTAGAATCCTCAAGCATAATATTTTATAAGGAGAGGATGAAAGCAGATACATTTGTTTTAACTATTAATGGTCTTACACCTTCCTGAGTACACCATATAATCAGGTAGGTAGAAACCAACACAGACATACTTTGTAGCTGGTATTGAGTATTTGCTTGGACCAATTTATATTATTTTTTCATTTTTAAACTAATAAAAGTATAGTTGACTCTAAGAATAGGAAAATATGTTTTTGACCACAGAGGGCACCTATGAAGAAATAAAAGTTTCTATTTACAGTAGATACCTGGGTCAAGAAGCTTAGCTCAAAGAGATGATGGAAAAGATGAAGGTAAAGAAAAGGCAGGGAAGAAGTGTAGGTATACAAATGCATATGGTAGAAAAGCTTATGGAAAGATTTAGAATTGGGATTTTGGATGGAAGGATGTGAAGATAAGGCCATACCCACTATGAAGCTCGAGTGGCTCTGTATTAAGGGCCCATGGGGCTGAATGTGTAAGAGGCTGAGAGAAATGGTAGTTACAGGTTAGTGGAAAATCCTCAATGGCTCAATTACACAGTCTTGTATGACCAGAGGGGACTGTTTGATAGATCTATTAGCTCAAAGTCAGGGTTGCAATTCTGACAGTGGGAACTCTACTTGTACACATAAGTAAGTTTGAACAAAAAGGTTCAGTTATTTTCAGAACCACACATGGATATAATTGAAGAATGAACAGAATCAGCCGTATATTTTACAGCCAATCTGTACATTATCTCTGGAGAAAATGGACCCCATTCTTCGACGTTTCAGAAATAAACTGTAACTCATGGTGTCTACTTCACCTTTCAAGTTTAACTTGGAGAGGCAAAATGCTATATTACTGTTTTTATTGCTATTCTTCCTCATCTTATGATTATCATAATTATTGTTGGAACTGTTTCATTTTTACATTTAGTTAAATCAGCATGACTCATAATACTGTTCATGCAAGGTTTCTTTTATCCTCTCCTTTTCATCAGCAACAACACCTATTGTTTGGAAAATGGAGACTTCAGGGAGTCCAACATGCCTGAAGCACCTACCTATGTTATTGGGTTTTTGTTATGTGCACATCAGGTTTTTTTTTTTAGTAAAAGTAACAGTTTATTCCATTATATGCTTTTAAAAATAACAGCTGTTAGAAAAATAATTGCTATTATTTTCGACAAATATATTTAGTAGGCAATATATGAGTACCTAAGAGTCATATTTCAATTGAAAATAACCTTTCTGGGAGAATGGTGTGTGGTTCTTGTGAGCAGTATGCGTTTAGTCCTGTCATGAAAAACTAAATAAATCTAAAAAAAGAATATCACTTGTGTCAACCTCGATGTAACAGGTTTTGCAGGTCAGGTGTAACATGTGACTAATTGCACTGTCGCATAATTTCTCACCCCGTAAGCGAAGTGTACAATTTGATTCCTGATTCAAGTGGGGTTATTATTACTTTGCTATTGTTCATGAAAGAAAACTTCTGATAAGGTGATTTTAGTCAATGTGAGAACCTGTCAGGTAGA